GTTTGATCTATATGTCATCTAATATTCAGGAAATCGTATATCTTGTTTATATTTGTTTTTTAACACTGAATTGCAATTTTATGAAATAAAACACCAATATTATACATCACGAGGAACAAAACTTCAGGTTTGAGAATTTTCTCCCACCTTAAGGTGATAAATAACATTGACATCTCAACTTGGTCATCATATGCTCTCATGTCTATTAGCGAACTCTGCCTCCATGAGAGTTCGCTAATAGACATGAGAGCACGAATTCGCTAATAGACATGAGAGCACGAATTCTCAAAGCTTAAATTCCAAGCTTCATTCTCCGGCAAAACAATGGCACACTTCGTACCACTAGAAATTATGTAGGGATGGCGATGTCAAAAGGCTTGTAAACGCCTCGATAGAAGCAAAAAAAAGATCAGACCCGAACCAGTCTATTAAGTAGTAACAAAAAATGAAGGATGATCTATTCCAGAAAAGTTACGAGACCCATGTGGCATCATAAGGAAGACCTTGGAGACTCTAACATGCATCACCGTAGTCACCGAAAACCAGTCGAAACGTCCATGCAAGCAAAGCTTCTATCTTTTTCTTCAACGTGATGCGTTAATTGAATCACCCAATTAGATCTTATCCTCCTATGCTACCGTTGCAACTTGAACAGAAAATTAGACCACTGGAATTAAATCCGAAAAAACTCGATCAAGGAGAAGACAAAACCTAAGTAAAACACGCCGAACTAATTTTGTTTTTTATCTCGTCGAAAATTCCAATTTCACAACACAATCCCTTTGAGAGACTTCGCCGAAGCCTCCTATAGGCCAAACCATGGGAGACGAAGATTTGTTCTGTGGAGAGAAGAGAATCATGCACACGATAATAAAAAATCTAACACAATACACAAACGGAATCAACATAAATCACCAAGAGGAATTATACGAGAGCAAGCTAAGCTACTAAATCCGAACTATGTCGGAAAAGAGAAAAAATATTCATCAGATTAAAACGGAAACAAAAATCGATTTTACCAAAAAAGTGATTTCCGATAAGCCAAAAATTGCAACTCTTTTTTGAAAGATTAGTAAGAGAAAAGAGAGAGACGGATAGTAGTGGG